ACCACAGGATGGAGAGAATGTTGCACCTCTCCATCCAAGTTCTGTCATACATAGACTTCCTGACAGTTTGTCTATACAGGGTATCCGATTTGCCTGAGTGTCGGTTATCCGAGACAGAACAGCCGACATACAGGACACGGCAGCCTTGCAGGTTCTCTGCTCGTCAATGCCGTGTTGGCTAGGCAGTTTTCAGTTCTGAAATTCCGCCCAGTCCAGTAACCCTACCGTTTCCGCTTGTTGAATGCCCCCTTCTAGGGCTCTACCCTGTTCAGGGGAGCTCTTCCTTGGGTTCAGAAGGATATGAAGGAGGACTCGGTCGCCTCAGCACTTCTGGTGAAGAGGTTTCAGGCTGAGAAGGCCAGTGCCTCGCAGGGGTCAGTGCCTCCTAAGAAGAAGGCGAAGTCTTCGGCTGCTCAGTTTTCTGCACAGCCCAAGTCCCAACCTCACTTCAACGGCAACAAGGGGAAGGGTAGGAAGGGTAAGAAACCTCCTGGGGGCAAGAAGAAGGGTTCCTGACTATTTCTGCTTCTTGGCCGCGAAAGGCGAAGGGTATGGCCGGGTGGACGGTGGTTCTCCTTTCCCGGGCTCATGTCCTTCTCCTGCAGGCTCAGGCTCCGGGTGGGCAGACGATTCTCTGGTCTGGCAGGGGCTCGATCTGCCCCATCCGGAACTCCCTGTGGGCGGACGTCTCTCTGCTTTCCTTTCCTAGTGGCAGGATATTACAGAGGACGCTTGGGCTTTTGTCGGTGGTCAGGGAGGGTCTAGGTATTCCCCTTCTTCAGGATTCGTCCCTCACCTCCTGGCCGTTTTTGTTTCTTTCCTCCTCCCGGGGATTCAGAAAGGGCACGGGTGCTCCAGGAGGAAGTAGGGACCATGCTGCCAAGGCAGAGATGCCCTTGGGGCTCACGACAGCTCCTTTGGTGTTCACCAAGTTGCTGCTGGTGTTTCTTTCACTCCTGCAGAATAGACGTCCACATCTATTTCGACGACTCCCTCATGCCTCTTTTGGTGTGGGAATCGTTAGTGAAGGACACTCGTCTGGTCCTGAAACTCTTGCTCAGAGTCGGCTTCATTCCTTCCAGAGAGAAGTCAGAGGTTCCTTCATATTAGGACTTCTTCTTCCTGGGGAACCATTTTGACATGGTTCGGGGCTTAGCCCTTCCACCTCTGGAGAAGTTTGAGAAGGTCAGGGCTCTGGCTCTGACTTTCATCACTTGGTCACTTGTCCAGGTACATTGGTCCCTCAGTTTTCTGGGGTATCTCAACTCCTTGGCATATGTGGTCCCCCTAGGGAGGATTCACATCGGACCTCTCCAGATGTTCCTCCTGTCTGACTGGGTTCCGTCATCCAGGAGGCCTGGATCCCGCTTACCCAGTCGGTCAGGGAGTTCTCTTGCTGGTGGACCATTCAGGAGAACGTTTTCCACGGGGTACCTCTGACCAAGCCTATCCCCTCTATGATCCTGTTCATGGACGCGTTCATGACAGGAATGTGAGCTTACCTCGATGGGGGAGTGGTCTGGCGAATAACTCTCGGAGCACATCAGTGTACTCGAGATGACACTGTTCATTTGGCTCTGCAGTCCTTTAGGGGTATCCTGCAGTCCAAAGTGTGGCTACCGACAACAGTTGTCGCGTATCTGGAGAGACAGGGGCCACCAGGTCTCATGTCCTGTGTGCCCTCTCCATCCACATCCATCTTCTCTGCCAGGACATGCAGTTGACCATAGCGGTCAAGCATCTTTCTGGCAGGCTGAGTGTGTTGGTGGCCACTCTCCAGGCGCCACCAGCCGGTGTTGACGGAATGGCAGCTGTGTCCCTTGATTTTCAAGGGGAATTGTCAGGCGTGGGACAGACCTATTATAGACCTGTTTGCCACTTCCCTGAACAACCAGCTGCTAACCTTCGTCTCCCCGGTCCCAGACCGTAAGGCGTGGGCTGTGGACGCCCTTTCTCTGGAATAGGAAGGGACGTATGCATATGCATTCCCTCCCTTCAACCTGGTGGGCAGGGTTCTACAGAAGTTCTGGGAGCATCACTGCTCCTTACTTCTGAGAGCCCCTCTGTGGCCGAGGCAAGCTTGGTTTCAGGAGCTCTTGTCGTTTCTGGTGGAGGAGCCCTTGGCTCTCCCCACCAGACCGAATCTCCTTCGCCAGCCTTGGCCCAGAACGACACACTCTTGACCAGAGATCCTCCACCTTCACGCGCTGAGGCTATCTCTGGAAGCCACGCCAAGGCAGGCTTTTCTCAAGAGGTGTCCGATTGCATTGAGCAATCAATCAGGGCTTCCTCTTCTGCCGTCTACCAGTCACGTTGGATGATCTTCTGTGATTGGTGTGTCGGCAAGGAAGCTTATTCATTCGAAGCCTCTGCATTTGATTGCGGAATTCCTAATCTCTCTGTTTAGGTACCGCTATCTGCCACCTGGCACTATTGCTGGCTATCGTACAGCTATTGCCAGAGTTCTTGCTTGTTATGGCAGGAAGGAGATCGGTTAGTCCTCCTCTCTTTCTGCCCTAATCAGAGGCTTTGCTATGAATAGAGTTGTTTTTAGCGAAGAATCAGGTTCCGGGGTTCTCGCACGATCCCATCAGGATCCTGGCTGTGACTAGCTCGGAGGAGCGAGATAGGTTGCTTTGTCCTTGTCGGGCTCTTAGGTTTTATCTTGATAAAACCAGGGGGGGGCGGGGCTCTCGATCCCGTCTGTTTTGCCCATTAAACAGGGGCAACGAGATATCTCCTCCCAGTCGGTTTCCAGGTGGGTTTGCCAGGTGATTTAGTATGCTTACGAGCATTTTGATGATCTGGCTCGGGCGAGAGTGAAAGCGCGGTCTCACGAGGTCAGGGCCCTTGCTTCATCCTGGGCCCTTCTCTCAATGAGTCCTCCTTTCAGGAGGTCATGTCTGCAGTATTCTGGCAGGGCAGGGATACCTTAACAGATTTTTATCTGTGATCCCTAGCTTCCCACTCAGAAGGCCTGTATCATTGGGACCTTTGGTGGTGGCATAGTCAGTGGCTGGGCCTCCTCGTTAGCCCCGGGCCATGTCTTTCCGTACGGCGGCATGTGGGTACACCTGCTCTTTCACAGAGAGGTCCCTTCCTTCACTTTAGCACTCTGTTCTCCCTCCCTACTACTTTGGTTGTGCTGAAGGGGCTGCCTGGCTTCTAGTCACCACTACGGTAAGACGAATTCGCATACTAAAGTTATGGTAATTATTACTGAAATGAAATTGAGGTTTTTTAATGTAAAACCAATTTTCATGATGTAATACTTACCATAACTTTATGGAGTCCCACCCTATCCTCCCCTCTTCCTTATCTGCCTGGCTGCCCTTCTGTGGGGTTTACGCCATAAAGGTTATTAGAGGAAGGGAGATCACTCTGCGTTCCTGTCGTGATGGCTCATGGATCGTAGGGAGGGCGGGATTGTTTTTCTTTTGAATCTTTTGTTGTTGGGATACAAAGATGGGTGTAGGTACTGTATTTGCATACTAAAGTTATGGTAAGTATTACATCATGAAAATTGGTTTTACATTAAAAAACCTCAAATCTCAAGTGAAAATCTAAGTTAACAGAAACAACCAGAACATGTCGACATTTATTACAACTATACCTACTGTGATGCTAAAACTCAGCACTGAGGAATAAGTAATAATACTGTGAAACCATTACCTATTCTGCAACTCTTATTCCTTAGAAATTCATTCAGATAATAAATTTGTTGTGCAATAAAAATGTAACAACAAGTAAATTAAATTTAAATGAGGTAACAAGCACTGATTGAAACATTGTTGTGGTTTTAATTGAATTTCTTCAAGAGTTTCGGTTTGTCTTTGGAACAAGATCTATTCTTGGGAAAGACAAAATTTCAAAGTTTCAAATTCTATTCCAAATGCCAAATTGTTAGAAATAGCATGGTTTCACTACATGGACAAATATGCAACATCTAAATTTAGATTCACAAACTCTCCATTGACATGATAAGATTTAACACCAAGCTCAATGCACCAATAACATTAATTTTAACAAATTCAAACACAATACCTTCCATTAAAACTTACTTTTTGTTTGCCTCTTGCCTTTTTCTTTAAGATTAAATGAGTAAATATTCATGTTAAAGTCACTCGGGATTTGCATTTTACCTTGTTACATTAATACTGTTGGCAAGTTGATCAAAGTCTTTAAACAAATAAGTTTCTATTTGAAATCAATTTATGTTTGTAACAATAAGTGAAATTTTACATTTTTCTGATGTGTTTGATTTTGAAATTACTGAACTCAGATTGTAATTAATAATATCTTGCAATATTATTTTCTATCAGGTCCGAAAGTAATGGTTTAGACATAAAAGTTTTTGTAAGTATTTCTTAAATTCCAAAACTGCTTATGACAGCTCAGGTTTTGTAAGAATTTTATATAGCAAGACTTTGGACAACAAGACATTAGAATAGAATATATGTAGACCGTTCCATAACACTGCAACAATGGTCAAATAATCATCCTGTAGCATGCAGCGACCCAGCTCAACTGTAATAAACACATGTTTCTCACAAAGTTATCAGCAATTTACCGCTAAGTAACACTACACATGCTAAGCTTGTTAAACATGAAATACGGTCACAGTGACCCAGAAAAAAACACACAGTCCAAGTCTCCTGGAACATGGACATGTGTTCTTTTATAATGTAGTCAGCATATTGAATTTTGATGTCCTTTTATTCAATACTTACCAAATTGATAGCAAATACTATCTTTTTTATTTTTTGTTTTCTAAATTTTCCCTGAAAAAATTTAGCTTAAACATATTCTTTGTAAACATTTAGCTTCTGAAATTTCACCAAAATTCCATAAATATACTGTTTCTTGTATTATATACAACGAAATTAAGAAATGTGAATTAGCAGAAAAAGTCTTTTGTATTCATTTTAAAAAATCTTGCCAGAAATAAACTATTTCTTTTAAAATAATATCTTTTGTACATCAAAATTGAATGGTGTTTACTACATGTGTTCAGCCTCAGCAGCCCTTTTACTGATACAATGCCATGCAATCTGCCTCCATGCAGTGGTTGTCATTTGTGACAATAACATTGGTATATAGTGTGGTAAAGCCACAAACACCAGTACCTCTGTGTAAGAGCGCTGAAATACGAAGCGAGGAGACAGAAGAGCCAGAGGTCGCCTCCGCACGTATTTCTGTTAACAGGGTATATCATCAATTTTATTTTGTTTCAAAATTAATATTTGTTAAAATCAGTGATTCTGTGATCCTGTTAAATTTGATTTATATGAAAAATTACACATTCAAATGACTTTCATTAAGAGCATGGTTTTAAAAGAAGAATAGAATATACCTTTTATAAAAAACAAAAAAAATCCATTTTGTTTATGATGAACTATTTTTGTCTATTTAAATGAATGATTGAAAAATATGCTGAATTAAACACATATTTGAAAATTTGGATCAATTTAGTTTGGTCATTAGCTGATAATGTCCTTTCAAAATAACGACAAAACAGTGAAGTTGACCAAGTCCATTATGTTTTTTTTGAGTGATGGATCTACTACATAAGATATTGCTTACATCACTGTTACAACATTGCAACACTAGACAGGGTTCCTTATACATCCTAACATTGAGACTTACGTTTATTTTGACACCCTTTTGTAGGTCGGCGACGGTTGTTTTCTTCCCCTTGTTGATGTCGGTAGCTGGTGTGGGGCTGTCGGCAGCAGCTTTTCTCCCCATTGGACTTGGACTTCGTGAGCGCCCTAATATCACATAAAATGAACAAAATATAATATATTGATTTTACAGGTATATTACATTTCAAATGTTACTGTCATGTTTTCACTAACTGTAATTTTACTGAATATCTAACGGTTATGAATGACAGCAGTTAATTCTTCAAAATAACGGCATTTTTTCTTGTGAAATGTCATGCAATGAATTATATATTTTATAGAAGTTTTCCAAAACCTATCAAATTTTTACTATCATGAAGATTGATATCTGAAACTTAATCTTTTAACTCACTTTCAAATTTACCAAACGAAAGTGTTCGGAGCATTTCGATACCAGACAGATATCTAAGACTAAATTACGGTAATGTGAATCAAAGCTTGTGAAAAATGGTGACAACACTAGATTGTGGTGACTATGTGAAATAAATTGTGTTGTGCGTTTAATTACATGCAAACAGATAATCTTGTATTCATGTTTTGATATACATGTAGTATGTGGCTATTGACAACACACATGTTTACACCATACAATGTTTATGTTATACGTGTAGTATGTGGCTATTGACAACACACATGTTTACACCATACAATGTTTATGTTATACGTGTAGTATGTGACTATAGACAACACACATGTTTACACCATACAATGTTTATGTTATACGTGTAGTATGTGACTATAGACAACACACATGTTTACACCATATAATGTTTATGATATATGTGTAGTATGTGGCTATAGACAACACACATGTTTACACCATATAATATTTATGATATATATGTAGTATGTGGCTATAGATAACACACACGTTTACACCATATAATGTTTATGATATATGTGTAGTATGTGGCTATAGACAACACACATATTTACATTATATAATATTTATGATATATATGTAGTATGTGGCTATAGATAACACACACGTTTACACCATATAATATTTATGATATACATGTAGTATGTGGCTATAGACAACACACATATTTACACTATATAATATTTATGATATACGTGTAGTATGTGGCTGCAGACAACACACATGTTTACATTATTTAGTTTATAACCACTTCATCTTCACATCGTTGAAAATGTATGATAAAGTATGACTATAACAAGTTTATAAAATCAGGGATTTACATTATAAACCATATGTGAGGGTCAGTACATTGTCATTTTAATGCACAAGAATAAAAAACTACAAATGTATATTAATCACTTACTTAAGAGATATTAAGAATGTTTTATCATGCTTTTACACTAATGAAAATGAGAGACATTATTTTTCATAAAAACAAAGAACAAGGAAATTTTTTTCGTTTTCTACAGGTTTTATTTTACACGTTTGGTTAGCAGGTTTTCTTGTTTTAAAATGATGGGTATTGTTTTTTACATTTTATGACATATCAAGATTTTCCTGTAGAGAAGGATGGGAATCACATGAAGCTTGACTTTATTTCATGTAAGGACATAATATCTTGGTTCTTAAGTAGAGAGATGAATGGTTTATGGTATAAAAAATGTTGGTTTTTCATTATGGTTTTACCTAATAGAAATTAGGGGCATTATATCATTCTTATATTGAATAGAATTCTTTTTCAGAAATAGTAAACTATAATAAACATTTCGTAAAGATCAAGACAAAAAATTATATTTGATCACAATTAGTTTTCTTTAAAAAAAGCATAAAGATTGAATTGGTTTTCTGATAATTTTTGCAACTGGAGCTTCATAACTAAAGACATGGCATAGATAACTTGTATGTGTACATGCAGCGTTTGTTGTGAATGTAGAAGTCGTTACGATTTTATGATCCAAGGAAACAAGTACCATTTAACATTTCAACTGAGAAATATCAACAAGTATCTAAAAATGAAAACTGCAGAAAACAAATGACGGTTTTAAGAGTTTAAAGTAAGTGATAATGATAACAACAATGAGGAAATAAACACGTGCCAACAACTGGATATTTGTGATAACTTCTAACACATCGGTGTACTTAGATTAGTTGTAGGAAAAGTAAATACCAGGTACGTTTTAGTCTTATTTAATTAATGAGACCTATTTTGCATTTTTTTTTATTCAAACTTTAAAATTAGGCAAATATTAAAGTCTGATTACACATCTATCCAGGTATAATATAATTACCGACGGGGTTTACATTCTGAAAATAGCAGGGAAAGCCTTCCCATGGATAACTAGTCTTCTCTTAGTTAATGAAGAATGACCTTATCTGTATCACTCAGCAAATTTATTTTGCTTTTAATTCTATAATAATTCTATTTGTTCAATCTCCCCTGCATTCCCCCCAACCCCCTCCTCCGAAAAAAAAAAGCAAAAAAAACCTAAACAAACAAACGAACAAAAAAATATGATATTTTCTAAAGTTTCAAACATGTCATACAGAAACATATACCAGAATCCGTAATATTTATTACTTTGACTTCAAAAAGAAAAGTTCAGCAAAAAAGAACTTGAATATTTCTCCAAGTCAATCTATTTATTAAAAAATTGGAATATATACACAAACAGAGCATTAGTGTTACCAAATATATATATCATGGAGGAATGTTAAGGACTTGGGGAGGTGCTTCAGACCACAAAACTCAGCCAACTTACGGGCTGTACTTAAAAAGGCCACTGCTGCCCCTGCCTTTTGTACAGCAGATAAAATGGGAATGTGTTCTGGTACATCAGGTGGACCTTAAAAACCCAGGCATTCAACATGATATATATGTTATCAATACAGTCATGTCAAAGTTGCGGATAATGAAACTAACTTAACCAGAATACGACATGCTGACCACTAATGACACTGTTATATAATTGTTTCATTTCTTGACCACAACAAAATACTATTAGATCATATTGAACCGATTCCTCTTCATAACCATGTATCATACCATATGGACAACATACATATTTGTATGTACACATTAAACTAAATGATGTGGATGAAACAGAAATATGTACATAAACCAGTTCCATACTTGAGATTTCTTCCTTTATGAAGAGAGGTAGATGTTTAGTCAGAAGTGATTCTACATCATTCACGGCCTTGTTCCTAAACAAGGGAAAACTGACAGCACAGCAGAGCCTAACTTTATATTTCACTATTATTTTCTAGTTTTCTAGTTACAGGATAAAGCTAATTGTGTGTTTGCTTAAAGCAAAATCTGTAAAATTCCTATTTCCTCCTTTAAAAAAAGAATGTGCCAAAGATAGGAAAAATTCTCAAACAGAATAGGGTTGTCTTTCGTCACCATTTTCAGTGTCTATTTATCTACTTACATTGGCTGGTGAATTGAAATGACCAGACAATAGGCTTAATTCCACTTACAATAGATTTTCTCAAACTATGCTTTTTTTCTATATTTTAACTTATTTCAGTCTATTTTGAAAATTTTAAAAACAAAATGAAAAAAATGGAGGTCACATATACTGCAAATTGCACTTAGTTTAAACAATGTATATTCTGACTAACAAAAATTAAAAAATCAAAGACATCTATAAACACACGCAAAACACATAATTATTAACTATCACACACAAAAGCAATCTGAAAAAAATCTACAAACATATTAGAAACCTAAGATACAAAACATAGCCGTAAATGTAAGCAGTGTGTGTTAGAGCGCAGCAGAATTTGTGCTGCCTTGCCTCTCCTTCGGTCACCACGCCCAACTTTAGTCTTGGTCAGGCTGCCCCGCCCACTGTTAGTTTGGGTTAGGGTGCCCCGCCCACTTTTAATTTGGGCTAGGCTACCCCGCCCACTGTTAGTCTCTCTAACCCAACTGTCAATGTTAGCACTTGACTTGTTTCTACCTGAGGTCCAGGACATACTGGCACTGAAAACTCCGCCTGAGGTCAAAGGTCAAAGCATGATGACTTATGATCTTATGAGCAGTAGCATATTCATGTTTTTTTTGTGGGAATAAAATTCTTGCATATACTGGTAAAAAGTTGATGCACATTCAAGAATTATTTGTTGGATGTCACAGATTATTAAACAGAGATTGATATATTATGAGGAAGCATGAAAAACATATATACACCGATTCAAAGATAGATCTATTTGGGAGATGATTAGTTTGCTGGAAAAGTACAAGAGCTAAAGACAACTGCAAAGCTTTCATGTTATGTCAGGAAGATGATAAGTTATATTTATACCGGTTTAGCTCTCCACCAAAAAATATTGAGAAACATTAAGAAATGAAAAATTAAGATGAGGGATGAAAAATCTATCTGAGGTATGCCTCTTCAGAGTCTGACGAAAAATATGTTTGGTATTGATCTTCAAAAACAGATATTCCAAGTATAATTGAGACTAGCACTATTTGTGATCAAGATTCCTCCCCCAAAGTCATATTTTTTAGTAATATGCATATACTCACCTCCTATTCGGATACATTCCTCTTTGTGACGTGCATTCCATGCTTTCAGTTTACATGCCTTGCTGCAGTAATATACTTCTTTACACCTTGTACATGCAGACAAGCGCATGCCAACTGAACGACCACATTCATAACAGTATTTAAAGATAGGCTTCCTGTGGAAAGAAAGAATAGAATATCAATTTCTAATCACAATATTGTCAGATCTAACTTTTTTTTAAATTTACAGAAATAAAAATACTGCACTTTTTTACACTGCACAATGGGTTCAAATCACATCAAGTTAGCACTATGAATATTTACAAACTTTGATTATAAACAAAAATATGAAAAATAATGACACAGTATTCAATATATACTCTTGCCTCTTGTCAGCAGGGTATGGTTTGTCTTATAATATAAGCCATTTTAAAATCACACAGAGTTAGCGCTGTAAGTATTTACTAATTTTCATTATAAACACAAGTCTGAAAAATAAAGATTTTTTAATTAACGAACAGAGATTTTTTCAAATACTGATGTTAACATTAGTGCATGATTGCTTTTTTTTCATTTTAATGAGCTATGTTTTCTGTAACTACAATATTCAAATTCTCAAAAGGTATGATATGTACATGCACCTTCCAAACTTGGCTGAGGACTGAAAAAGTAAATTCGGACCTCCCAATTCTCTCTATGTGTTGCTGTTAATCCATCATACATGTAAGTATATATGTTATAAGTTACACTACTCAATTAAATCTGGCATCAACTTTTCTTTCTAGGATTCTAGCTTTAATGTATCTATTTAGAAACACAAACAAATATTAATACTCAAAGTCATAAGTTACCCTTATATTCTGATAAGTATTATAAATATACATATATCAATACTGCAATGATAAATTGTTGAAGAAATTCACCTAATTCTGTATCTTTTCCTTTGTATACAAGGATATCTTATCAAACAAAAACTAAAATAATATTTTTAAAAATATTTTCATCCTTTTTTTCTTGCTGGAGTTTCTCAAATATTGGAAATATTCCGCAACTAAAACCAGTATAAAAATGACTCAAGTTTGTGTTATAGTACATATGTCACCAGGCAGAATTCTACAATTTACAGAGTTACATAGTTACTGTGGTTCAGTCAATATTTTCACTCAGATACACAAAAATTACTCACACTTATACAATAAATAATAGCCCATTCTACTCAGTTCATATTTGGTCAATTACTTGGCACCTATTCAATATTTTCACAATAAAAAAAAACATACTTCAATCTATAGCTTTCTTCTAACTCATCCATGGAAAACTGAAAGATTTATAGATATGAAAGTATGAAAATAATCTTCCATCTCTGTCCTCAAATCTTACCAAAAAAACAATATTTCAACGAGAAAATTTGCTAGCGTCTGGAAATTTCTTAGCTGAATATAGTGTCAGTTATTTTTCTGATGAAAATTACAAAAAATTGACATTTTCTGGAATGAATCAGCCAGACAAGGACAATTGACATTTTCTGGAATGACTCAGCCAGACGAGGACAATTGACATTTTCTGGAATGACTAAGCCAGACGAGGACAATTGACATTTTCTGGAATGACTAAGCCAGACGAGGACAATTGACATTTTCTGGAATGACTCAACCAGAGGAGGTCAATTGACATTTTCTGGAATGACTCAGCCAGAGGACAATTGACATTTTCTGGAATGACTAAGCCAGACGAGGACAATTGACATTTTCTGGAATGACTCAACCAGAGGAGGTCAATTGACTTTTTCTGGAATGACTCAGCCAGAGGACTATTGACATTTTATGGAATGACTCAGCGAGAGGACGATTGACTTTTTCTGGAATGACTAAGCCAGACGAGGACAATTGACATTTTCTGGAATGAATCAGCCAGAGGAGGACCATTGACATTTTCTGGAATGACTAAGCCAGACGAGGACCATTGACATTTTCTGGAATGACTAAGCCAGACGAGGACCATTGACATTTTCTGGAATGACTAAGCCAGACGAGGACAATTGACATTTTCTGGAATGACTCAGCCAGAGGACGATTGACATTTTCTGGAATGACTCAGCCAGACGAGGACAATTGACATTTTCTGGAATGAATCAGCCAGACGAGGACAATTGACATTTTCTGGAATGAATCAGCCAGAGGAGGACGATTGACATTTTCTGGAATGACTAAGCCAGACGAGGACAATTGACATTTTCTGGAATGACTCAACCAGAGGAGGTCAATTGACTTTTTCTGGAATGACTCAGCCAGAGGACTATTGACATTTTCTGGAATGACTCAGCCAGAGGACGATTGACATTTTCTGGAATGACTCAGCCAGAGGACGATTGACATTTTCTGGAATGACTCAACCAGAGGAGGTCAATTGACTTTTTCTGGAATGACTCAACCAGAGGAGGTCAATTGACTTTTTCTGGAATGACTCAGCCAGAGGACGATTGACATTTTCTGGAATCTGACATTTTTTCTCAGCCAGAGGAATTGACTTTTTCTGGAATGACTCAGCCAGAGGAGGTCAATTGACTTTTTCTGGAATGACTCAGCCAGAGGACGATTGACATTTTCTGGAATGACTCAACCAGAGGAGGTCAATTGACATTTTCTGGAATGACTCAGCCAGAGGAGGACGATTGACATTTTCTGGAATGACTCAGCCAGAGGACGATTGACATTTTCTGGAATAAATCAGCCAGACAAGGACAATTGACATTTTCTGGAATGACTCAGCCAGAGGACAATTGACATTTTCTTTTCTGGAATGACATTTTCTGGAATGACCAGAGGATTGACATTTTCTGGAATGACTCAGCCAGAGGACAATTGACTTTTTCTGGAATGACTCAGCCAGAGGACGATTGACATTTTCTGGAATGACTCAGCCAGAGGACGATTGACATTTTCTGGAATGACTCAGCCAGAGGAGGACGATTGACATTTTCTGGAATGACTCAGCCAGACGAGGACAATTGACATTTTCTGGAATGACTCAGCCAGAGGACAATTGACATTTTCTGGAATGACTCAGCCAGAGGACGATTGACTTTTTCTGGAATGACTCAGCCAGAGGAGGACGATTGACATTTTCTGGAATGACTCAGCCAGAGGACAATTGACATTTTCTGGAATGACTCAGCCAGAGGACGATTGACATTTTCTGGAATGACTCAACCAGAGGAGGTCAATTGACATTTTCTGGAATGACTCAGCCAGAGGACGACATTTTCTGGAATTGACTTTTTCTGGAATGACTGATTGACATTTTCTGGAATGACTAAGCCTGAGAGGACGATTGACATTTTCTGGAATGACTCAGCCAGAGGACGATTGACATTTTCTGGAATAAATCAGCCAGACAAGGACAATTGACATTTTCTGGAATGACTCAGCCAGAGGACAATTGACATTTTCTGGAATGACTCAGCCAGAGGACGATTGACATTTTCTGGAATGACTCAGCCAGAGGACGATTGACATTTTCTGGAATGACTCAGCCAGAGGACGATTGACATTTTCTGGAATGACTCAGCCAGACGAGGACAATTGACATTTTCTGGAATGACTCAGCCAGAGGACGATTGACATTTTCTGGAATGACTCAGCCAGAGGACAATTGACTTTTTCTGGAATGACTCAGCCAGAGGACGATTGACATTTTCTGGAATGACTCAGCCAGAGGAGGACGATTGACATTTTCTGGAATGACTCAGCCAGAGGACGATTGACATTTTCTGGAATGACTCAGCCAGAGGACGATTGACATTTTCTGGAATGACTCAGCCAGACGAGGACAATTGACATTTTCTGGAATGACTCAGCCAGACGAGGACAATTGACATTTTCTGGAATGACTCAGCCAGAGGACGATTGACATTTTCTGGAATGACTCAGCCAGACGAGGACAATTGACATTTTCTGGAATGACTCAGCCAGAGGACGATTGACATTTTCTGGAATGAATCAGGCACAGGAGGTCAATGAGAAAAGATTAAGAATCTATTGTATAATCTCTAATTATTCATGTGACTTAAAAAAGGATGAGGGATGGAATGTGAGATCACAAGTGGAATGGACAATAACATTACATTGCCTAGCAAGAAAATCCACCTCAAGATCATGTCACAATTACACAACAAACTGCAAAACCTATTTTACTGATTAGTAAACATTCCTGTATATTATTGTAGTATTTGGGGTAAAAACACTAAATTTCTTCAAATTCAATATCTGTTAAGGAAATCAACAACACCTGCCAAGATTACCAAGGTTAGGAAGGACATTAGAAGTTTGACCGTTGATAACCTCATGAAGCTATCAATGTTGGGACGGACATTAGAATGTTGACCGGCGGTAAGGGTTAGTGAAAACTCTAAATTGATTTGAAGATTAGTTATTAGTGCTGGACCAGAAGACACAGTTACAAAGATGTGTAGAGGTACGTGCAGTGGACTCCAGTGAAAGGAGCTCTGTAGTGAGCTGGTGGAACCGTGCAAGTGATGAATAAACTCTAAACTGTAATACAAGAAAACATTGAATCTTTTATCACTCAACTAAAAATAACAGAAATGTTCATAAGTTGAAACATATTGAATATAATTAATTATTAAAATTGATCATTTTTACAAAATGTTTACTAGACAAAGGAGTTTGTTCTGGCAATGTTTCCTTGTAAATCTTTCTTCTTTTGTTCTACATAGTGATGTAGTTTCTGATTTCCCCTAAATGTTTTATCTTATGAAGCATGTTTAGGATAGTTTATGGAGTTTAGTGTAATAGGCTTTCGATCTGTTCAGAAAGACGTTTTCTCATTCTATTCTTTATCTTGTAAAATAGAAATGATTACAGAGTCTATACACATTGTATATAGATATCTCTTTGAATTATTAGTGAAAATAACACACTGATAATCTAAAAATGTTGTATATTTTGTAAACGATCAAAAATAAATATAATATATACTGCATGACCAGCCTTAATTCCTTTATACAGCTAAAATATAAAAAACAAATCTACAATATTTGTTAAGAAGAAAAATCTACAAAATGAGAAATGAAAATATGTACATCGCTAAAAATAGTCATTTAATTGTGTTAAAGAAAGGAAATTATCGAAAAAAGAAAACAGATGACTAAATATGACCAAAAGAATTAACTAAACTAGCCAATACACGACAAGTTTGATAGATTCTTGAGTTCTACAGTTTGGTATTATACCCATGCTAGGGGAGACAACTACATTAAAAAAGTTCACTAATTTCAAACCTGACATTGTCTGTTTTATTTGTTTTTCTGAAGTAAGATTTTGTTGACCTAGATCTTCGCTGTTTGTCAGACGAGGTGCTAGAAATGTTACAGACATGATAGTTATACTGACATGTGGAATAATATGGTACAATAAAGATGGACAATCAAGGGAAGTAACTGTTACCTTAGATGTGCCCTTTTTGGTATATGTGGAAACGAAACAAAAATACTGCACAATGAATTCTTAAAAAATTATATTAATTGCAAAGTAACTTATTTCCATCTAATATGTAAGTCCATTACAAAAGTATTTTTGTACAAAGTTGAAAAGATGAAAAAAGTAGAAAATATTTTTGTTTAATTCTTTATAAAAATATAGATACTTCCATGCCATAATATAACATATAAATTTGATTTAAAATTTCAATTTCATTAACTATATCAAAAAACAGAAGAAGATATTTCACATTGAGACTTGGGAAATACATTCTGTAAAGTCGTGATTCAGTTTTTTTGTTTTGAGTCATTGTCAAAACTCATGAAAGAAAAACTATGTCTGTTAATTTGATATTTGTATAATGATAATTAATATCTAAAACAGATTAGCTATCTCATTTCTAAACCATTATGATATGAAAAAATTACGGTAAATCCAGCATCAACAGCTTCAATGATATAACATAAAAAATAGGTGTAATGAAATAAAAATTGATTGATAATATTTCAAAGAAAACTAATTCTAGCAATGATCAGTAAAATTTTCATCTTATCTTATAATGTATAGCAGGTCATTTTCAATGGTCAAAATTTTGGTCATTTTCTTTTAAAACAATAAAATTATATTGTAACAAATCCAAATTCGGTGACCTAGGTGTAAAAGGATATCTTAATCACTTGTGTCTCATTCTTTCACAAATAAATTTTTTATGGTCTTGTTCATGTACTGCAAAATGACAAAAATATCATTTCTTTAAAAATAACTGACTGTACGGTAAAGGTAAATCAGCATGCAGTGCTCCTTACCTTTTGAGGAAATTGTGAATAAATTATAAGTAAATATTTAGTGCAAATAATGTATTTTGTCAAATAATATCACAATTTAATGTGTTGAATATGAAATCTGTCAAAATTACCTTGAGGGTAAGGTTCCAGGATCACGCTCCGGGTACCCTCTCCCTATCATGGCTCCTTCCTTTGCAGTGGCGTCAAACGTCACCTTGCTCTCTCCAGCAGGATCTCCTCGTAGTGACTTTGGTCGGCGCGAGTCTGAAGGAAGTTCAGCTCCAGCACCGACATAGACAAAGTTAGGACTAGGACTGCGACCTGGAGTAATAGGATATTTAGAATAGATCTCTTCTTTTTATGCCTTTATTCATTTTTCTATTGTTTTCCCATAAAAAGGCTAAAGAATAAATAGCCTATTTTAAAATGATGTACCATATCTTAAAATGTAATGCATATTTTAATCTAGACATATTGGGTTTTCATGTAATCTCAAGGTGGAAAAAAATCTCAAATCATTTTCAAGTGAATTTTACAAAATTCAACTTAAAAAAAAATTGTGTACTTAGGAATGTTTGTAGAGATATAGACTTACCAAGTTTATTGTAAAATATTCAAAAAGTAAAAAGAAAGACATCACTGAAATATAAATACTAAATGCTTGTACATCTAATACTGAATTTTATTCAAATATATAGATATGAAATGTCCCTTTCTCAAAATAATTTTACTAACTTTTTTTTCATGTTCAAAACAATCCTAATATATGATGAATGTATGTTAAATCTTATAGGGATCAGAGATAAAAACCAAAAAAAAAGAGATTCAGGGCTCAACTTGTTTGTATGAAAAATTAACTTTGAAAGTAACACATATGATTGTATAAATGACACATTCATTTCCTGTTCAGTAAATCATACTTATTATTTTTCTTCAGACTATATGATATATTCCTTAAATCTACAATTACTTACAGAGACCAGTAAAACACATGTTTTATAAATCAGAGAATTCTAATGTGAAAGGAAAATCAAATGAGTAATTAGCACTCTGTAAATCAGATGAGTAATTAGCACATCTGTAAATCAGATGAGTAATCAGCACATCTGTAAATCAGATGAGTAATTAGCACATCTGTAAATCAGATGAGTAATTAGCACATCTGTAAATCAGATGAGTAATTAGCACATCTGTACATCAGATGAGTAAATAGCACATCTGTAAATCAGATGAGTAATTAGCACATCTGTAAATCAGATGAGTAATTAGCACATCTGTAAATCAGATGAGTAACTTGCACATCTGTCAATCAGATGAGTAAATAGCACATCTGTAAATCAGATGAGTAACTTGCACATCTGTAAATCAGATGAGTAATTAGCACATCTGTAAATAAGATGAGTAATTATTAGCACATCTGTAAATCAGATGAGTAAATAGCACATCTGTAAATCAGATGAGTAATTAGCACATCTGTAAATCAGATGAGTAAATAGCACATCTGTAAATCAGATGAGTAATTAGCACATCTGTAAATCAGATGAGTAAATAGCACATCTGTAAATCAGATGAGTAATTAGCACATCTGTAAATCAGATTAGTAAATAGCACATCTGAAAATCAGATGAGTAAATAGCACATCTGTAAATCAGGTGAGTAATTAGCACATCTGTAAATCAGATGAGTAAATAGAACATCTGTCAATCAGATGAGTAATTAGCACATCTGTAAATCAGATGAGTAACTTGCACACCTGTAAATCAGATGAGTTATTAGCACATCTGTAAATCAGATGAGTAATTAGCACATCTGTAAATCAGATGAGTAATTAGCACATCTGAAAATCAGATGAGTAATTAGCACATCTGTAAATCAGATGAGTAATTAGCACATCTGTAAATCAGATGATCTGTAAATCAGAAGTTAGCACATCTGTAAATCAGATGAGTAATTAGCACATCTGTAAATCAGATGAGTAATTAGCACATCTGTAAATCAGATGAGTAATTAGCACATCTGTAAATCAGATGAGTAACTTGCACATCTGTAAATCAGATGAGTAATTAGCACATCTGTAAATCAGATGAGTAATTAGCACATCTGTAAATCAGATGAGTAATCAGCACATCTGTAAATCAGATGAGTAATCAGCACATCTGTAAATCAGATGAGTAATCAGCACATCTGTAAATCAGATGAGTAACTTGCACATCTGTTAATCATTATCACTGTGTTCCTAACCGTTCAAAAATGGTTGAAGTGAAAATAACTTATATTACATCTATAGAATACCTATACATTACAATGAAATACAAAATTAACTTCTTGTTCAAGGGCATAACTCTCCTTACAAACATATACTTTGTCAAAAAGAAAACTTTATTCTAGTCATTCAGTCCGTAACTATTAAGTCTTAAATTACTTTGAAACCTTCAAGAGCACTACTTCTGAGAAAAATTTTGGACAATCTGTGATTTATCTACAAACTGACCCCCTAATTCAATAACACATCAAATAATCTTTTATTGATGTTCCAGCTGAAAAGTCAGAACAATCACACAACTAGAGCAGGGCTTTAAGAATTTGGTGATCATATCTGTCTTAGTCAAAATCTGTCATCCACACTGAACTTACTCCTTTTTCCTAAACTTATTTCATCCTCTAGTCGCCGTCTTTCTCGTTCCACTGCTTTGGTGCGCAGGATGTCTCCAATATGACCTAGCAGCTTACGACGAGCATTGTATGTTTCTCGCTCAGCATGCGTCAGTGCATGGTAAGGCATATGTGCGATACGACGGTCCTAAAGTTGTGATTGATGAAAACGTGATTTTTACAAAACATAAAAAACAAAAGAAATTGATCATGCAACAAATTATTCATTTAAGTTACACAAGAATTAATCGCAGAAATAAAACAGTTCTAGTTGATCATGCAGCAACAAAACTGAAGTGGTTAAGAGAAATTGTATAAATAAAAATAAAGTTCCTGGCATGATAAATAATAAAAACGACAATCATCCTGCCCACTTATCTTCTTCTGTAATACCGCAAAATCATTTACTTCGAAAAATCATTTCAAACTTAACTGTATTTCGTTCTGTCAAGAAACCAATTAATACAGAATAAAAGTATTGAAAAGTCTCAAGTGTCTTTGAATCAACACCTGAAATTGAGCCAAGTTTTAAAGCCTTTCCTGATTTCTGATACTGAAATTAACATTGCAGCAAAGAACTATTGTAAAACAAATTTTTCGTTCTCTTCTGGAAATGGAAATATATAGAGGTAATCCAAAATGTTAATTTACTTGATTATGATAACAAAATCTTTGATGGATAACATACTGGTAAAGATAAAAAAAAATGTAAGTGTGGGGGGATGTGTTTTAGTGTAGATGGATTTGTGTAGAAACTGACAACAACCAAACACCACCCTACCTGATTAAACATGTAATAAGCATAGTCAACAGCTGTGCCGACAACACGCTTTGGTCCGATTGGTATAGGAGCTAGGATATTGGCACCAGCTCGCACTAACTTGTCAATCTGTTGAAAAATTTAAAAATTTACATAAAAAGCATTGATAAAGTCATGTTCAGAATTTTTATCAAATCAAAGTTCTTGGTTTTTATATAGTAATAAAACAAGAAAATTTCACTACGCAATATCCTGTTTCTGTTCTGACGATGATTTCTATACAATATAACCATAACATGTTACAACTTACATTTTCTATGTCAGAACTTTAATATATGATGTATACATATATATATAGTATATCTGATATTGTAAAACCTCAACATCTCAAAATTTACATTTTCTATGTCAGAACTTTAATATATGATGTATATATATATATATATATATAGTATATCTGATATTGTAAAACCTTAACATCTCAAAACTTACATTTTCTATGTCAGAACTTTAATATAGAACTATATATATATATATATATATGATGTATCAAAACATATATATATATATATTATATATATATATATAGTATATCTGATATTGTAAAACCTTAACATCTCAAAACTTACATTTTCTATGTCAGAACTTTAATATATGATGTATATATATATATATATATATATATATAGTATATCTGATATTGTAAAACCTTAACATCTCAAAACTTACATTTTCTATGTCAGAACTTTTATACAGAATGCTTTATGAAAATAAATAATCAGAAATTTGAATACATCTGTATTGTATTTACATTCAGAAAATGTTAACAAAAAAAAAGATACATAAACAAACAAAAACATGCAAAAAACAAGAAGATATAGAAAATGAAACTTTACAATACTGAAGTTCATTGTCAGACAATTAACTGACGTAACAGTGTACATGTATTTCACACCCACACCGTGTTAGGTCACTCATTTCTACCACCTAAGTATAACAGTATAAAGTATCTACTGATGTTTCAGTGAAAGCTGTTGTTTTAGTACCAATTAATTTTCATTACCAATTGTAGACGACCGTTTATCTGTCTCCGATGCTCATACTCTGTGGATGTGGCAGCACAGAGAGCACTACCAACACCATGGGTGAGACCAAGACTTGTGTCAGCACCAAAGAGAATCAGTTCATCTAGGGCCTACAGAAAACAGGCAGAAATGTCGTGATTTTTTTATATAAAAAAGGACAGACATAAGAATTTCAAAATTCAATTAGCAGGTATTAATTAAGGGTACATTTATTTTGAGTAAAAACATGAAATGTACAAAATTTGGTGTCATCATTTTAATCGTATAACCATTCTCAATATCAAAGCAAATCAAGTATCATATTCCACTTTTTAAATCTTAGTGAGAAATATAAAAGGTTGGCTGTAGACTTACAAGATCATTTCCACAGGCTATTGTTAGAGCTATTGGTGAAAAACCATTACACATGAGATTAGGGTTAGCCTTGTGTTCCAGCAGTAAGCGAGTCACTTTACAGGCAACCTGTACAACACAAAGACATTCTGACTGTTACAGGCTGAACAAATTTTTAAGATATGAATATTGGGACAGAATATCAGACTTTTTATTTAGAAAACAACTTTAATTTCCAAATAAATCCTTGCATTGGTTTCTAAATACCATTTCTTTCCTTATAAGATATTCTTCTGTTTTCTTACTTTAATGAATCACTTTTATTATTAGAAAATAGTGCAGCACCTGATGTGAAGAGTTCTAATGAAATGCTTTAATGTGTTCTAAGAAAACAAATTTTTTTTTTCTTTGTGTGTAATATTAAATAGCAATTTATATGTATACCTGAGGACAATGCGTATTGAGATACAAAATAGATCAGGTTTGTGTAATGAATATAAATACATTATTAACTGTATGTAGATATTGTGTATATATTTTTTATCTGACCTTGTAGTTGTCATCCCTGGCACAAGCTATCTGTAGAGGTGTACGACCACCAAGGAGGGCCAGACTCTCTGGTAAAATAGCATCTTTACTCCATTCCTCCTCCTAAAACATATAATTTTTCTGTAATGTAATACATATATATTTATCTATGTTATTTTACACTTTTTTTTCTATTTTAACTGTTTTTGAAAATGTTACAATTTACATACCACTTTTATAAATTCCATTCACACACAGTATTATCCCATAATAAGTCCAGATGACCAATATACAAATTCTGACTCCACACAGGGATAGGCTTACCGCAGGACAATAAAAAGATTTTTTTTTTCATTTTTGCAGAATAGTAATACATATGGGTGGGCTTATCATGTGATGAATTGTATTGTACATTAAGATATGTCACTTGTCACCTTCCTGTTAGTCTAATACATGTAAATAATAAGCTTATGGATAGTTCTGAACCATGTCAATTATATCAAAAAATATTTTCATCCATCTTACAGACAACCAGTTTTGTAATCTAATATATAACATTTTCTTCATTCCAATACCAGGAATAACAAAAATTGAACACCACTCTATCTAAATTGTAGTTTTTCAATTGTAACATAAATCTGATAAACAGAACAGACTAACAGAAACGATAAACAAAATAGATAAACATAAATGAACAGATAAATAAAATAAACAGAATAGAAAAAGAAAAAAGATAACAGAAAAGATTAACAAAAAAAAAGCACAGAAAAGACAAACAGAATAGATAAACAGAAAAGTTAAACAGAATAGGTAAACAGAAAAGTTAAACAGAATAGGTAAACAGAAAAGTTAAACAGAATAGATAAACAGAAAAGTTAAACAGAATAGGTAAACAGAAAAGTTAAACAGAATAGGTAAACAGAAAAGAAAAGATAAACAGAATAGATAAACAGAAAAGTTAAACAGAATAGATAAACAGAAAAGACAAACAGAATAGATAAACAGAAAAGTTAAACAGAATAGATAAACAGAAAAGTTAAACAGAATAGATAAACAGAAGAGTTAAACAGGATAGATGAACAGAGAAGATAAACAGGAAAGTTAAACAGAACAGATAAACAGAGAGGATAAAAACACAGAATAGATAAACAGAAAAGTTAAACAGAATAGATAAACAGAAAAGTTAAACAGAATAGATCAACAGACAAGATAAAAAACCCAGAATAGATAAACAGAAGAGTTAAACAGGATAGATGAACAGAGAAGATAAATAGGAAAGTTAAACAGAACAGATAAACAGAGAGGATAAAAACACAGAATAGATAAACAGAAAAGTTAAACAGAATAGATAAACAGAAAAGTTAAACAGAATAGGTAAACAGAAAAATTAAACAGAATAGATAAACAGAAAAGAAAATGAAAATGGATAATTTAAGCTTAAGATACCAGATTTTTGTTGAGAAACGAGTCATCTTCAGCAGCTCTGACATCAGGATCAGCCAGTGCGTTGAGTAGAAGCTCGGTAATGAGGATCCCCTCCTCACCTGGGATTCCAGCAGCAATGTGTAGCGGGGCAAGACCTCCTTTCTGTACAATAATTAAGACAGAAATTTAAAAAAAAAATAAAATAAAATAAAATAAGCTTATAATATACAACCTTAAAGTGCAAATTTCAAACCAAAACATTTTTTTGGTTTTTTTTTTAGAGTTGTTAAATATGAACTTAAAACTGGAGGACCAATGCCTAAAACTGATCAAATCAAACAATTAATCAGAGAGACCAGTAAGACTGACATATACAATTCCTTTACTTATTAAGAATCTAATGAAACAGATGAAAATATGAATTTAATTCAATGAAAAGTCTTATAAAATGCAGATTTAAAATACGAAAATTAAGCTTTCATATATATGTAATATGAAAAATAAAAGCCTAAAATGTCAAACTTGACGTGATCTACTCTGTGTAGGTTTGGAGTATAATGACAAGGCCAATGAAGACCACCGTGAATGGATATCATGTCTACATATATTGTACAACATTCAGGGTGAAATGAAATGATAGTTGTCACAATTACCCAAACAACAATTAATGTTCAAATAGTTTGAACTGTGAGATTGCCATCCACCAGCCGTCACCTGAGGTGAGAGTTCACTTACTGTGCTGTGCTTTTGTCATACAAAAAACACTTTCTTACTAAGTACATTACTGAACCAACCATACAATGTTCTGTGTTTCAAAAATGCAAGATCTCACACATGTACAACACAAGTATAGCTTCATGTACTAGCATAACCCTGACCAAGTTTAGTAACAAATAGATGTAGCAAGGTCTGTCTGGAAGTTCTAACCACCAATGAATGGGCCTAGCTACCTGTAGTCTATATACTCCAGGCCCATTTCTGATAAACAGATCTTAAGATTTATCTTAAAGGTTCTATTCACAAGTTACTGGGCCAAACTTCTGATAAGAAGTCTACATACTTTTGGTTCATTTCTGTCGAATAAATCCAGTTAAAATAGGCCTAATTTCTGATCTTTTGTCTACCATCAGTGTAAATAGGCCTAATTTCTTATCTTTTGTCTACCATCATTTTAAATAGGCCTAAATTCTGATCTTTTGTCTACCATCAGTGTAAATAGGCCTAATTTCTGATCTTTTGTCTACCATCATTTTAAATAGTCCTAATTTCTGATCTTTTGTCTACCATCATTTTAAATAGTCCTAATTTCTGATCTTTTGTCTACCATCAGTGTAAATAGTCCTAATTTCTGATCTTATGTCTACCATCAGTTAAAATAGGCCTAATTTCTGATCTTTTGTCTACCATCTTTTGTCTACCATCAGTGTAAATAGGCCTAATTTCTTATCTTATGTCTACCATCAGTGTAAATAGGCCTAATTTCTGATCTTATGTCTACCATCAGTGTAAATAGGCCTAATTTCTGATCTTATGTCTACCATCAGTGTAAATAGTCCTAATTTCTGATCTTTTGTCTACCATCTTTTGTCTACCATCATTTTAAATAGGCCTAAATTCTTATCTTATGTCTACCATCAGTGTAAATAGTCCTAATTTCTGATCTTTTGTCTACCATCAGTGTAAATAGGCCTAATTTCTGATCTTATGTCTACCATCAGTGTAAATAGTCCTAATTTCTGATCTTTTGTCTACCATCAATGTAAATAGTCCTAATTTCTGATCTTATGTCTACCATCAGTTAAAATAGGCCTAATTTCTGATCTTTTGTCTACCATCAGTGTAAATAGGCCTAATTTCTGATCTTTTGTCTACCATCAGTTTAAATAGGCCTAATTTCTGATCTTTTGTCTACCATCTTTTGTCTACCATCAGTTTAAATAGGCCTAATTTCTTATCTTATGTCTACCATCAGTGTAAATAGTCCTAATTTCTGATCTTTTGTCTACCATCAGTGTAAATAGGCCTAATTTCTGATCTTTTGTCTACCATCAGTTTAAATAGGCCTAATTTCTGATCTTTTGTCTACCATCTTTTGTCTACCATCAATGTAAATAGTCCTAATTTATGATCTTTTGTCTACCATCAGTTTTAAATAGGCCTAATTTCTTATCTTTTGTCTACCATCATTTTAAATAGGCCTAAATTCTGATCTTTTGTCTACCATCAGTGTAAATAGGCCTAATTTCTGATCTTTTGTCTACCATCATTTTAAATAGGCCTAAATTCTGATCTTTTGTCTACCATCAGTGTAAATAGTCCTAATTTCTGATCTTATGTCTACCATCAGTTAAAATAGGCCTAATTTCTGATCTTTTGTCTACCATCTTTTGTCTACCATCAGTGTAAATAGGCCTAATTTCTTATCTTATGTCTTCCATCAGTGTAAATAGTCCTAAATTCTGATCTTTTGTCTACCATCAGTGTAAATAGTCCTAATTTCTGATCTTATGTCTACCATCAGTTAAAATAGGCCTAATTTCTGATCTTTTGTCTACCATCTTTTGTCTACCATCAATGTAAATAGTCCTAATTTCTGATCTTATGTCTACCATCAGTTAAAATAGGCCTAATTTCTGATCTTTTGTCTACCATCAGTGTAAATAGGCCTAATTTCTGATCTTTTGTCTACCATCAGTTTAAATAGGCCTAATTTCTGATCTTTTGTCTACCATCTTTTGTCTACCATCAGTTTAAATAGGCCTAATTTCTTATCTTATGTCTACCATCAGTGTAAATAGTCCTAATTTCTGATCTTTTGTCTACCATCAGTGTAAATAGGCCTAATTTCTGATCTTTTGTCTACCATCAGTTTAAATAGGCCTAATTTCTTATCTTTTGTCTACCATCTTTTGTCTACCATCAATGTAAATAGTCCTAATTTCTGATCTTTTGTCTACCATCAGTTTTAAATAGGCCTAATTTCTTATCTTTTGTCTACCATCATTTTAAATAGGCCTAAATTCTGATCTTTTGTCTACCATCAGTGTAAATAGGCCTAATTTCTGATCTTTTGTCTACCATCATTTTAAATAGGCCTAAATTCTGATCTTTTGTCTACCATCAGTGTAAATAGTCCTAATTTCTGATCTTATGTCTACCATCAGTTTTAAATAGGCCTAATTTCTTATCTTTTGTCTACCATCATTTTAAATAGGCCTAAATTCTGATCTTTTGTCTACCATCAGTGTAAATAGGCCTAATTTCTGATCTTTTGTCTACCATCATTTTAAATAGGCCTAAATTCTGATCTTTTGTCTACCATCAGTGTAAATAGTCCTAATTTCTGATCTTATGTCTACCATCAGTTAAAATAGGCCTAATTTCTGATCTTTTGTCTACCATCTTTTGTCTACCATCAGTGTAAATAGGCCTAATTTCTTATCTTATGTCTACCATCAGTTAAAATAGGCCTAATTTCTGATCTTATGTCTACCATCAGTTAAAATAGGCCTAATTTCTGATCTTTTGTCTACCATCAGTGTAAATAGGCCTAATTTCTGATCTTTTGTCTACCATCAGTTTAAATAGGCCTAATTTCTGATCTTTTGTCTACCATCTTTTGTCTACCATCAGTTTAAATAGGCCTAATTTCTTATCTTATGTCTACCATCAGTGTAAATAGGCCTAATTTCTGATCTTTTGTCTACCATCAGTTTAAATAGGCCTAATTTCTGATCTTTTGTCTACCATCTTTTGTCTACCATCAATGTAAATAGTCCTAATTTCTGGTCTTTTGTCTACCATTAGTTTTAAATAGGCCTAATTTCTTGGAGGACATCATATTTTATTATTGAAATACTTGAAATAAATACCTGCGAATTTCAAGCATCATCACTTCACAATGTAGCATTACATGAATATCATTCAGTCCTAAGACATAAAATGTCGATGAATTGATTTGTCTGATCACAATGAAGAAAAGGAAATCAGGATAAAACAGTAGGGCAATATTTTCTATATATATTTTGTGACAAAGGAACAGTTTTCCAGATATTTCCAGATACATTCAGACAAGAACAGTATGTAAAGGGGTAAGACTATGTAGTGCTGTATAAGGTTGTGATCTATCTCCAGCTATAACTGTACATGTATATCATAAAACATATGTATGGAACTTTTTCTACATACATTATGGCAAATCTCAAGGTTACATGTACTTTTACTTTACATGTACAGGTATTTCCTGACAACTGATTGAGATTTATTAAGTATCCTGGGATACACATGTTAGAACATTGAGCTTCAGCTATATTAATCAAATACCTCATTAAAATTATAGATTTTCAGAAATACCTCAATTAAATTGTAGATTTTTTAATGATAAAATTAAATTATAGATTTTCAGAAATACCTTAATTAAATTAAAAATTTTCAGAAATACCTCAATTAAATTGTAGATTTTCAGTGATACCGCAATTAAATTATAGATTTTCAGAAATACCTCAATTAAATTGTAAGTGATACCGCAATTAAATTATAGATTTTCAGAAATACCGCAATTAAATTAAAGATTTTCAGAAATACCTCAATTAAATTAAAGATTTTCAGAAATACCTCAATTAAATTATAGATTTTCAGAAATACCTCAATTAAATTAAAGATTTTCAGAAATACCTCAATTAAATTGTAGATTTTCAGAAATACCTCAACTAAATCATAGATTTTCAGAAATATCTCAATCAAATTGTAGATTTTCAGAAATACCTCAATTAAATCGAAGATTTTCATATATTTATAAGTTATTTCTTAAATCATTTACGTAAAAGTAAATATGAATACCACTTATTGTAGCAAATAACTAATTCACGTTATCAAATTGCCATGTAGTTTCCTATTTTTCTCAGTATTCCCAAGATAATCCAGTATTATCTCAGAATTTACACCGTATTTAATGTAAAACTTCATATTTACCCAACAATTTACAAAAGCTTTATTGCAAAATTCCTTGTCTACTCCAGAATTTACATTATATTCAATGTAAAAGTCCATGTTCGCTACACAATTTGCAAAAAGTTTATTGCAAATTTTCTTATTTACCACAGAATTCATACTATATTTCTCATTTACCACAGAAATGATCAGGTATTCAATCTTTGAATATTAAAACAATATTTGAATATTTTCACAGAATTAATTACATATTTACTACAAACTAAATTCCCAATCACCACAATTTACAATAAATTGTATTTTAACCCAGGAGTTAACACTACAATTAGAAAAGATTTGATACCATATTTACCAAAGAATACCACATTTTATTCCAGAGCTAAACTTACTAAATTTAACCAAAGAAGCAATACCATATTCACCAAAGAATTAATTCCATATTAGCTATATGATCATTGCACTATATTTACATGTTGTATATTTACTATTTAAGTTAGAATCGATTTGAGACTACATGTATATCTATCTCAGAGTAAGCTATTTCAGCATTCAGTATTTACCCCCACAATAAATACAATATTTTCCATGGATAGAATTGATATCATGTCAAAAGAATTTTAGTCATCCAAATATTGACCAATATACGAAAAAAAAAAACTTAAGTTAAGTTTTTTGTAACTACACTGTCTTGTACCAATAATCCACTTTTACCAGTAATACCATCCCCAACCCTTTCCCAATTTTCAGAGCTGAAAAGATATAATGTCAAACAAAATGAATATAAACATTTCTTTTTTATCTTTTTCGGAAAACTATTTACAGACCAGGGGATTTTTTATATCAGGATGAAGAGAAGAATATTGGAGGTCTTCCACTTACAATGTCGAAGTAAAAATGATCACAATATCTTGACAGTCATTGATGTATGAACTCTATAAGTATACTGAATCATGCACAAATAAACATGCAGGTAACAATAATGACAATTTATTAACAAAGTTTTCAGTCAACTAAGGTTTCTAAAGAAAGAAAAAAAACACCATGAAGAGAACAAGAAAACAGAGAGTTCTACAACATGGTGTAAGGGATCGTGTACCGTTGTGTCCTGGCCATTGATCAGTATTTTGAGCTGTGAAACAAATGAAATCAATAAAACATAAAATAAAAAAACACCAGAAAATCTCCAGGACCAAGAAACTGTAAAATTTCGGAAGTAATTAATTTTGTACATGTCTTAAATCATCGAACATTCATATGTTAAAGATATTACAGCCTAAGGTCACAATGAGGATTTAAACAAAGAGGATCTTGTCTGGCACTCGTGTACTGGCTGAATTATAATACACTTTGAGCAGTTCAAAACTGTAGACAATATACTACATATTTTATACAGACATTGACAAACATTTGTAACTTAATTAATTTTCATGGCTTTAATACACTATTACAATGTATTATTTTTTTCTACAATAAGGCTATTTCTATCAAACAAGATCAATGACTCAGTGCAACAAGTAGGCTTTTCACAGAACAAGGAGTAGTGATGCTTGGAGATGGATATAATCATGGGTGGGCTTAGAAGCTCAAACACAAGTTTTTTCCCTACCGTCAAAGTTACATTTTGATATTTTAATATTTCAAAAACATAATTTTTTCAAAAGAAAAATAGAAGAATGTTGAATACAGAAACTAAAGAACTAAATTCTATTAATCACTATTGAACGAATCAAAACACAGGCCTTAATCAGCAGTAATTGCTCTTGTTTTCAATATTTTGGAAGAAGATCAAAGCTCATGATATTGAAAGTTTACAGGATTTTGGACCTGACTTATAAAATATTTGATATGCTATATATACAGGGAGACCTCTTCCCATCTGAAACACTGTGGTGTTAAGGAATACTTCAGAAGGTTTACTGTTAAGATGGATGTGTCTTCAATACAGGTAGCAAATCAGAGAAAAGGTATGTTTTAGTTTGTTAAAACCATATTGAAGGATAAATATATCAATTTATCTGGATAATGAACCAAATACATTTGGCCATAGGTCCATTCATTGATTCTGTTCATAAATGATAATTTCCTTCCACATTTTGTATTTTGAAATTGTCCTACCTATTGTCCAACAATGCAGATAATTTTTTTCAAAACTTTCTTTTTGCCAAATCAGAATGTGTAAGATATGGCACTGTGATGGATTTTGTATTTATCAAATCTTTACAGTACCTCTTTAGGTAGAGTAATGCCTGTTGAAGCTCCTTTCATTAGAAGAGTTTTGACGACCTCAACATCTGCTGACTTGATGGCAAAGAAAAGAACAGGCATCGGAACACTAGAAGCGTTAGGGTCAGCCCCACGCTTCAGAAGCAAGTCCATTGTATTTTTCATCCTCTCTTTCCTAAAAAACATGGATTATCAGAAATAAAGAGAAAATAACATAAAAAATTCAAGTACTGGGTTGTGATCAACTTTCCCATGTGAAAACTCTTCGAAAAAATACACAGGAAAACTATGTCAGTATGTGTTACTTTCCCCAGGAATTAAAAGGATACTTTCTATATGTAGGTATGTTTAGATATTTTTATAAATCTTGGCATGATTTTTTTCAGCTTTATCACTAATAATGAAATACACATCCTAAGACTTACTCATTCTTACAAACGGCAAGATGCCTCACTGTCCCAAGCTCCATACTGTTGTGTGACCTCCGACCTCCAACTACTTTCTCATTGGTCGACAGTTGTGTTGCACACCTTTCAACAAGCTGTTCCGATACCTGGATTTCAAAATCATGAAGTGTTGCCGTTGACTCAAACTCGGCTTCATCTGATTTCTCTTCTCGAGCACTGCCAGGCTCTTCACTATCTGCTTTCTCTGGTGAAGGGCGAGACAGCGGTTTGACCTGCTCTGTAGGATCCACAATCCTTACCTATGAATAATATAAATATTGTATTTTTACATTCAAGGAATTCTATGATAAAAATTATCAGATAAAAGCAATTTACAGTAATTTATTATCAATGCTATGAGATTATCATAAAAAATGATATATGTCTGAAAAGCTGTTGATTTCATTTCGTGTCAATTTCGTACAATGTACAGAGAAACAATAAATCAGAATTTTACTTTTGAAGAATGTTTAAATGCCTTTTTTGTTTTTTTTAATGCAAATTACAATTTCAAACATAACATGTTGAAAATTTTGTTTCAACAAGGATATAATGTTAATAACTAATGTGATTGGTCACCTGAGGTTTTGACGGACTGCCCATGCTCTGATTACTGTCAGTCTGAGGGAAGCCACTGTCCACACTTGTATGACTCTGGTTGGCTGCAGCTGGCTTGGGTTTGGCAATGATTCCCGGCTGGGTTGGTTTGGATACAGTGTTATTCTGCTTTTTATTTAAGATACCTTTTGGTTTGACAGGAACCTTCTTATCTTTAGACTCCTGTACTGGGGGAGGGCGTTCAAGATATCGTTCTGCAATATTGTACTGAAATCCCTCCACAGGGTAAAAGAAAATTGTTCCTGCAGAAAGAGCTGAACATCCCTCATCATTTAACTTGTTGATGTCGGCTCCGTGATTTAACAGACAATTTATCACATCCATATGCCAGTTTACCTGTAGGACGACAAAGATAAATTCAAATGTAACTGATTTCAGATCAGATATTTCATATGTAAATTCATTCCTCTGGAAATATCTGTACACTAAATCTTTTTCATTTAGTCTGCACCAATGCATGTACCATTTAGCGCTGAAATTCAAATTATTTTAATTATTTACAAAGTTTTAGATTTATAATCTTGATATTTATCTTGAAATTATCAATATTTACATATGATTATATCATGTAATTGACGAAATAACTGTACTTTGCAATGGGCCTCTTGTATGTTGTTCAGTGAGGAAGCCACCAGTTACTAGTACCGGGAGATTTACATCCCCTCAAAATGACCTTGGCTATTCAAAGGGTGATAAACCCAACCAACAAACGTATTTGTGATTTAACAATATTCTATATCTTGCTACATATATGTTTATACCTCATAATTATTTCACCTAACTATTAGATTCTTTATTTCTTCAAAATAAACTCCAGATATGAATCTAATCAAAACTTCTGAGACAATACCCGATTCTCAAAGTAGTAAAATTATGGTGTTTTTTGTGTAAATGTCTTTGGTTTCTGAAATCACAGTATATCTCTCAGAAAGTCTACTAGCCAGGAATGAAAGCAGTTTGATAGAAATATCTATCTGATGACAGATCAGCAGGCCTTTGTAAAGAAAAGGAGGGAATAATACTAAAATAACATGTATTTGATAAAATTTTTTTACAGAAAATCTTTTGAAAAACAAAGTTAAAATTTTAATACATACTGTAGCACCAATCAAAGCAGTATGACCATTTTTGTCAGCAACATCGGGATGAACCAGTCCAGCAGTGAATAAGTCTTCTACACGTTTAATGTTACCACATGTGGCAGCTTGTATAAGCTCCTCTGAAGCACTCTCCAGTGGTCCTTTGGGACCAAATTTTGATCGGTCACCTTTTAATATTTTTTGAACATCGTATGAAAGTGTTTTTAGGGTATTTTTATGCCAGTGAACATGCCTTTGCATTTTTATCACAGATGGTGTTTTGTTCCAAGCTAGAACTTTTTCATCTCTGTCTGATTTTTCACTTTCACTTCCAGGAAAGAACTCCTTATCAAACATATCTTTATTCACAGTTAAACTTCGAGGGTCCAGAGGTTCACTGTAAAGGTCTGTAACTCTATCTGACAAACGACTTTCTGGTACACAGTCAAATATTTCTGGAGTTTTTAGGATTTCTTCAACATTTGGTTTTTCGTCATCTTCCATAGAAATGTACAGAACATGTTCCTCTGGATTAAAGTCAAATTCTTTGTGTTTTTCCATGGTGAAAGCTCCATCTATTGCTGAACATAATTTAACAAGCTTTTCTCTTATCCATAAACCAACGTCATGTTTACCATCAGAATAAGTAAGAACTCCAGGCCCCATTCTTTCATCGTCTTTATACAAACCCTGAGAAAGCAAAATTTCAATATCAATTATGAGTACAAGGTGACAGTTAGAAGCAGATTATTACCATACTCCTTCTCCTCCGTTGTGTTGTCTCCCCTTTGCTTCCACCCAACCCCACCATCAAACCCTTCAAACCCCACAAAAAAAAAAAATTGAATACATATATATATCATATTATCAGATCAAAATAACAATAAAACATGTTTTATAAGCTAAAATATATATTGTATTTGAATAAGATTTTCAAAATTATATTAAATTCTAAAATTGTTTATTTGGTACTTCAAATCGATGTCAAGGTTACAGTATTCAAATTTTAATCAGATATGATGTTTATGGTTTATAAATTCCTTGTACCTCAAATGTATTTCCATTGGCAAATTTGAAGATTCCATGCCCCTCCTTACGGTCCATGTAAAAAGTTCCTGTGTAAGTAGAGCCATCAGTCCATGTATATACCCCTTTGCCATGGCGACGATCTTTGAAAAAGGTACCATCATAAGACTGCAAAAAATCAGAACACATGAACTAGGTATAAATATATCCTACTTTTTTTTATTTCAGATACCAGCTTAACAGGATATTTTTACACTACTCTAGTCTACCTAGAGGTAAAAATATTAAATGACGCCAACTCACAGTAATGTACTACAGGTGTATCGGTGCTATCTATAGACGCCATATTTGACCCATTCGTTCTTCATACTTGATTTAAAGAATAGCAAATATAGTACCTTATATCAAATATCTCATCTTCTTTATTACTACAACTGATAGACTTCGAGTGAAAAATGTTTGGACTGACAGTTACCGTGTAATAATCCTAGAGATTTGTCATATTACGTCTTGGTTACATTATTGGTACAGTGTGCTGATTTCAGGAAGCTGGAAATTCATTTAATGAGTAAATCTACTCAAAAAAAAATAGATATGTGTGAGCTTATTATCGGGGACAATTTCTGTTTATTGTTTTACAGCAATAATTTTGTTGATATTTTATAATTTTCTCTACTTACTGTAAAATAATATTTTTGTGGTGTTCAATTCTTGTGGTTTTTTCAAAAACATCACTTTGACATAGAAACTTGATATAAATATTCCTAGCTCAACAAAGGTTCATAACTTATAAGTTTAACATGGAATTACTCATTTGAAAATTGGATTGAGTGACCCATGAAATTAAAGAAAATAAAATCCACAATGAAAACAAATGATTATATATTCAACTTTTTTTTACTTCTGTTTTTTTTTAACTACACTGTTCTTTTTATTTTCATTCTTTTTACTGCTTTCCACCTTGGGTTTATTTAAGATCAAGCACAATATTTTCATTTTTTTTAATTTCTTTATTTTAATAACTAGTATATAGCAACCATATAATTCAAACCTATACATAACGTTAATGTTTAGTGTAGAAATGACCCAATGGTCGTCTTAAAGATTCAATTTGTCCTTAAAATTTTGGGTGTTAAATTTCTTTCATGGCAGTGCATTATTATTGAAATTATATATTTGGACCGGGACCAAATAATTATAATATCCTATATGTTACACTGTATTTATAATTAAAGTCCTACATGTATTATATTACAAAAATATATTTATGGTAAAATATTCTATGGACCTTTCAATATATATACAACTCTATAACTGCTTGTACATATAAAAGACATTTGTGATAACAACATATATTGGTTCATGATAAACATAATCAGAAAATTCATTTAATACATATATACTTATAGATTGTTTATTTAATCTAATTAGCTGAAAGCCATAATCAAATTTTACATTTTCACAAGATTTTCACGATTCCAGTTTTTAGAAAATCTTATGTGCTCAAATCTCAAGCAACATTTGATATCAAAAGTATTATTCAAATGTTTGATGTAAACTGAGGTCAATGTTAAACCTATTCTATCCAAAAGATCTTCAGATGTTTGTCAACAAAGTCAGCTAACATATTTCACACAAAGGCATTATCAAAATCAAAACAAATTAAATAGCATTGGCACTACATAAACACCTAAACATGATTAAATGTTTTCAGTGTAGATAGATTAATCTTTCTCCATTAATGAATGTATCAACACAGGCAGCTTTTAGCCCTGATAAAATTATATCAATTGATCTTTAAGTTATTGTGTATTTAAAGGCCAAAAATAAAAGATTTTTTCCAACAATAAAAAGTATGATATTGATTAAAATGATGATTCTGACAACAGGTACACAAACTCTAGACAAAATCTGTCTGCTTTGCCTCAGATTTCTGTCACACAATATAATTAACCAATATTCGTATCAGCACTGGATTGTTAACACATAAATGTATACAATTGCAGCCATTGCTTTAAAGTTGTACAATAAGATCTATTGTTAACCAGTCAAGTAGATTGATCATTTGACTGGGATGAATTCTACACGCCAAGGTCAATTAAATGTTTTAATTGAAAGGTCAAAGTTCAATTTCTTAATTATGTTGAGTAAGGGATTATCAGGACTGTGACTAAGATCAGGATGAGACTATGTGAATGTAGTGTGAGAAATTTCAAATTTTGAAATTAAAAGGCTTTGTTTAAAATAGTACACTTAAAACAAAAAGATGTCATATTTTCCTATATATATTTCTTAATCAATATTGCCCTCATTCTACCTGATAAAATTGACATGTTTTATTCATTCACACTTTGCAATTCTATTATTACTAAGACACAAAAAATAACAATTAAATTAAACACCTATGAAAGTCAGAAAGCCAATAAATCAATTGATATCGCTGTTCAGTGGGAAATTCAGCTTTTTTTAATTTTGGGTTTAGCCTCTTCATAATGCTGCGGGGTAAACATTTTCAGACTTTTTATTCAAAACAGAGTCGTCAGCTAGATCATGTAATTTGCATGAGAGAAAATGATGAACAAATAAGACTCATCTCTGTAATATCTGCTTTAGGAAAATCAGGATCATAGCCCCAGTATTGATGATAAATTTCTCAACTACAAATATTACAGCAAGATATTTTTGTTGGGTCATGCAGATAATCAGACTTTCATATATCCTTAATAACATTGCAACATTAGAGGAGGCACATGCATGCAAACTTTTTCTTTCAACATATATGTACTCACTCCACATCATTAAAGAATGTACATGTTAAATTTCAACCATCTTACATTATCATTTTTAATCATTAATCCCTTAACCCCAACATACATATTTATCTCTACTAAATTCTTCAGGGGCCGCTGTTAAATTTCTAAAGTGGCTTTATCACGCAGCACAAAAGGTTAATGTTAAAACTGGTTATCTATCTATTGCAGATGTTTCCTTCTCATTTCTCACAATATATTTACCTTCATACATCTATACACAAAGTCTTTTTGTATGCGTGGATATATGGTATGTTACTTACTAGATCAGGCCAAGCAACTTAATCACTATCTTCATGGAAACGCAAAATTAATAACGTTTTCCTGTCTCACATCAGAAGTTTGGATTTAACACAGCTTAACATACTCATTGTCAACTGGTTTGAAATTACATTACTTCAATGATCGGTTTTCACACACAGTCTTTTTTAATACAACTTCTGCTTCAGACAGGCAAGGATATTGTTGTTATGTCTGGAATGTTGACATACTTTACAATAGCATGACATTGTCTGACAGTCAAAGTGTTAATTATACTCTTGAAATCTAAACTCAATTTTTTAATGGATTATTTTCATGGTTCTGATGATTTGGTATAAATTGAAATATAAGATGAAAAACTAATACAAAAAATTGCTTCGCCTGGCTTATGGTTTTGCAAAATATTTATAATGGACAGTGAACTAGTACATATGGTGGTATATTTCTGCCTACAGTATTGACTTTACTGTAGGTTGTTTTGTGTTTAGAAGTAAATTATTTACACAATACATACTGTTTTATTACCTGATGAATGTGGAATAAATGGGCATTTTGTTTCACAGGTGAATTATTCATGTCAACTGCACTTCTAGCAGGAACGTTCTTTCAAAGTAATGGTGTATTTTGGGGATTTAATATATCACCATCTTGTCAAAACAGGGGGGGGAATTTATGCATTTTGGTCAGCTTTGTCAGTTTGTGAAATAAATTAAGAACCCAAGGGTATGTTAAGACTTTGAACCTGATCAGTATTTAATATTTACTGGTAAAGAGATTTTGGAGCACAATATTACATCAATTTAATACTTTTCTGTATGAATATCAACACTTTATTGTATGAATATCAATACTTTGTTGTATGAATATCAATATTTTGTTGTATGAATATCAATATTTTGTTTTATGAATATCAACACTTTGTTGTATGAATATCAACACTTTGTTGTTTAAATATCAAAAGACAAAGAGCTACTTTAGTATTAATACAAATCTCAGTACTGCATTAGTTAAATTGACTCCTTTTGTTCTCATGCAATATATGTGATATAATTACCACTCGTCTGATATATAATTCATTCTCAATAAATAGATATTGATTGTTATTTTATCAAGCTTCCATTTGTATACACGCAACACATACAGAATGCCTGTCAAGTAATGGAATTGATCTATTTGCAGTATATATCGCACTTGCTGTTGAAAACCATTCATTTATTATTTTTAACAGTCTAATGACATGCAAGTGTCTCAACTAATAATAGCTATCAAATAATTATCTATTTACCGTAAGATCTACAATTAGTTTGCCCTGATTGACATGGTTGTGACCATGTGAGAAAAAAAAGATTGTTACCATGATGCACACATCAATATATATGGTACATTTAAAAATGATAAAGAGTTGTAACACAGCCCTTATTCATAGGCAAACTGCAAAGACTTTCAGAATAAGCAATGTCATTCATAACAGAATCTGAAAAAACTTTTCTGATGTAAATCTCAGATTAATACAACTTATAACCATGATTATTATAGCTGTTGTGTGTAATTTCACCAAAATGAGAGATTTTTCATTGGGACTTCAAACATTGGTTTTATTTCCTTAGCCTTTTTCTCTATAACTATCCTAAAATCTTTTTAACAGAAGAAACTTTTGTCAGTATGAAAAAATTCCAAAGAGTAGAAAGGTGTGAAAAGATTTAAAAAACTAAATACCTCTCCATTACTCCAAGTTAATTTTCCCTGACCATGTCTCATATCGTCCATAAAGTCTCCATCATACCGACTTCCATCTTGCCAAATTTGAACACCTGAAGAATGGGAAATAATCAAATTAGTGTGTAGATATGTTTTGTGTTAATTTTATAGATACTATAAGATACTTAAGATACTGGTTCAATGAATCTTTAACTTACCTATGTTACAGTAACTGAAAATATATGTTCACATATTTTGAAAATTGTAGTTACAGCCCCCCATGCTGCCTACCTGTTCCATGTCTGAGATTATCCATATAGCCTCCTTCATAACGAGCTCCATTTGGCCAAGAAAACAGTCCTTCTCCACATTTTTTGTGATTTTGTATGGCTCCTTTGAAAGAAGCTCCACTTTTATAATCAACTTTTGTTTCTAAGCTTTGAAACTTTGCCTGGCGAAGTTTTGGGAGAGTGGAGCTTGAACACACTGATACAGACATTTTAGTTTTTATATCTTTTATCCCACTTTACACAGCATTACATCAATCCATCTGATTGTGATCACTGAAAAACAAGTAAGAAATGTCAAATCAAAGTGAAATGATGAAAGTCATTGATCAACAGACCATTCAACTAACTTGTTGTCAACTGAAAGAATAAAATCTTACTTTTGAATGTGTTGCCAACATAAAGAGCATTCTTCCAGTACAGCAGAGTAGCAGTAACTGATTTGGCATCAACATTTTTCAAAGGAAGTAGTTGTAGCATATACAAAACAAAAATGCTTCAAATTCTATTTTTGATACTTTAACTTAACTTTTCCTACAGTACCTGAAAATTGATTATTATACAGTATAGATATTGCAAATTATAACATCCATGTGTAAATATCAAGGTGTCCTTAATATATATGCTTCGATATATATACCCCCCCCCCCCCCAACAATGTACGTTTGTTGAAACAAATCACATCTTAGTGGTGATGTCGAATAAAACCTTTGATCTGCATGAAGTTTTATTGGCATGACCATTTGTTATGGGAAATGAAAGTGTTGCAAGAAATAATTGATATCGTTAGATATATTATAACAGAGTAATTGTAATCAAAATTATAAATAGCATATAAAAATGATAAACAAAAAACACGATGCATCTTACAATGAAACAACTTCCTTTGCATAAAATGAAACTCTGCATGCAAACTTGCACTTCACCCAGAGAGAGAAAGTTGGATGTTGTGATAACTGTACGAAATAAAAACTTTTTCAATTACATCCAGAACCACACAGTAAAATTAACTGCTTTGGTACTTTTCGAAACATATCACGTGTTATCTTAACAGCTGACATTACCTCCAACTTCAGAACCTGTGAAAATCGTGTAAACAATCCGCCATTACTAGCACTACCTTCCGCTTAAACCGTGGCGTTGTTGTTGCTACGCGACTTAACAAGGGACATAACTCCCACAGAAAAAACAGGTGCCCGTTTAATGATGTGACTGAGAAACTAAATTTTAAAAAATCAATATGACGTTTCAAATATCAGGTAATGACATTATATGTATTTTTGCTGAATCAATAATGAAATGAAAACATTTCATTGATTGGTTATAAATTATGTATATACGCAGAACTGAAAACATGTTTTGTTCAGTGTTTTGTATACGACATCATCGGTACAGACATTACTTCAAGCATTACATTAGGAACGTATTTTATACAATCATTATTGATCGTCCACTTTACACAAATCATTTTAAGTAAGCTGCATAGGGAAATTATTCACGTCTGTTTTAAACAATAGCCTTTCATTTTTTTTTTAGATATGTGATACCATATCTGCTACTGGAATTAAGACCTGGGGCCCTGAACTTTACCGAGAATAATCGGTTCGTAAAACCAGAGACGTATATAACACATATATACGTCTCTGGTAAAACCTCTAAAACTTCATATGATACAGGCCTCGAAAGCTTTGTCGAAGCTCGAAAAAAAGCAGTGGTCTGCCCTTATTTCCAAATGAAATATCTTGGTCCAATTTGTCAAAGCGACAAACGGAATGGATCTCAGTACGGAAGACGGTATATTTAATTTACATTCCATTATAACCATTTTTTCATAATAATCAAGAAGACAATGGACGATGTATATTTCGTCGTTAACAGTGGATTTTTTTTTATAAAGCATTTAATAATATAAATAGAATCATTATACGGTATAAGCTATTAAGAGTTTATTACAACAGGAAATATCCCCAAAATTGGTAAGTCCATATGTATTTTCATGTTAAATCTTGAAAATTTGAATACGATGGATGGTTACATAGTAAAATATTGTCATCCATATTTTTCGTTGCTTATTATGGATATAAATGATTCTGAGTTATATTTTATACAAAAGTGTTAGGACAGTTATCAAATTTTTGGAACATTTCCTTCCAATTGGTAATGTCACTGGAATAGTTCTTATAACACAACCAGTAGAAGGTTAGAGTGTGACGTTTCGATGACTACACGGTCACCTTCATCAGATAAATGATCAGTGTGGAGCGTACTAGAACTGACGTACGTAGTGGACGAGATGGCAAGGAATCAACCAACTTTTTCGGATGTACTATAATCCTACGTACACTAAGGTCGAAACTAGTGCGACGAGATGGAAAACAGATTATAGACCATATAAAACACACCAGATGGTAACAATGTACTGTGGTCAGTTCTACTACGCTTTATTTAACACTTGGTCATAGATGTGCGAGCGTCTGTTGCTCCTCTCGTCCTTATTAAATACTGGCCCAAAATAGTCGACAGGGAAAGCAACTTGTTCAGGCGGTTAGTTAAGGAAGCCATCTGGATACGCCGCAGCGGGTCAGTACTAACAAACTCCCTATCAGTAGATAATGTAAAAAGTGTAGCTCCTCCTCAGTAGATAATTTAAAGATTGTAACCCCACCCTCTCAGTAGATATTGTAAAGATTGTAACCCCTCTCCCTAAGTAGATATTGTAAAGAGTGTAACTCCCCCAAGAAGATATTTTAAACATTGTAGCTTCCTTTCAGTAGATATTATAAAGATTGAAACTCCCCCTAGGAGATATTGTAAAGAGTGTAACACACCCTCAGTAGGTATTGTAAAGAGTATAACATTCCCTCAGTAAATATTGTAAAGCGTGTAACTCCCCCTCAGTAGATATTGTAAAGAGTGTAACTCCCCCTCAGTAGATATTATAAAGAGTGTAACTCCCCATCAGCAGATATAATAAAGAGTGTAACTCCCGATCAGCAGATATAATAAAGAGTGTAACTCCCCATCAGCAGATATTATAAAGAGTGTAACTCCCCATCAGCAGATATTATAAAGAGTGTAACTCCCCCTCAGTAGATATTATAACGATTGTAACTCCCCCTCAGTAGATATTGTAAAGATTGTAACCCCCCTCCCCCTCAGTAGATATTGTAAAGAGTGTAACTCCCCCAAGAAGATATTGTAAACATTGTAGCTTCCTTTCAGTAGATACTATAAAGATTGAAACTCCCCCTAGGAGATATTGTAAAGAGTGTAACACCCCCTCAGTAGATATTATAAAGAGTGTAACTCCCCCTCAGTAAATATTGTAAAGATTGTAACTCCCCCTCAACAGATATTATAAAGAGTGTAACTCCCCATCAGCAGATATTATAAAGAGTGTAACTCCCCCTCAGTAGATATTGTAAAGATTGTAACTCCCCCTCAACAGATATTATAAAGAGTGTAACTCCCCATCAGCAGAAATTATAAAGAGTGTAACTCCCCCTCAGTAGATATTATAAAGAGTGTAACTCCCCATCAGCAGATATTATAAAGAGTGTAACTCTCCATCAGCAGATATTATAAAGATTGTAACTCCCCATCAGCAGATATTATAAAGAGTGTAACTCCCCATCAGTAGAAATTATAAAGAGTGTAACTCCCCCAGTAGATATTGTAAAGAGTGTAACTCCCCCTCAGTAGATATTGTAAAGAGTGTAACTCCCCCAGTAGATATTGTAAAGAGTGTAACTCCCCCTCAGCAGATATTATGAAGAGTGTAACTCCCCCTCAGCAGATATTATAATGAGTGTAACTCCCCATCAGCAGATATTATAAAGAGTGTAACACCCCATAAGCAGATATTATAAAGAGTGTAACTCCCCCTCAGCAGATATTATAAAGAGTGTAACTCCCCATCAGTAGAAATTATAAAGAGTGTAACTCCCCCAGTAGATATTGTAAAGAGTGTAACTCCCCCTCAGTAGATATTGTAAAGAGTGTAACTCCCCCTCAGTAGATATTATAAAGAGTGTAACTCCCCCAGTAGATATTGTAAAGAGTGTAACTCCCCCTCAGCAGATATTATAAAGAGTGTAACTCCCCCTCAGCATATATTATAATGAGTGTAACTCCCCATCAGCAGATATTATAAAGAGTGTAACTCCCCATAAGCAGATATTATAAAGAGTGTAACTCCCCCTCAGCAGATATTATAAAGAGTGTAACTCCCCATCAGCAGATATTAAAAAGAGTGTAACCTTCCCTCAGTAGATATTGTAAAGAATGAAACAACCTCTCAGTAGATATAGTAAAGATTGCAGCTTCCCCTTAGTAGATATTGTAAAGAGTGTAATTCCCCCGCCAGTAGATAATGTAAAGAGTGTAACATCCCATCAGTTGATATAGTAAAGAGTGTAACTCCCTCTTAGTAGATATTGTAAAGTGTTTAACTCCCTCTCAGTAGATATTTTAAAGAGTGTAACTCCCCCTCAGTAGATATTATAAAGAGTGTAACTCCCCATCAGCAGATATTATAAAGAGTGTAACTCCCCCTCAGTAGATATTATAAAGAGTGTAACTCTCCATCAGCAGATATTATAAAGATTGTAACTCCCCATCAGCAGATATTATAAAGAGTGTAACTCCCCATCAGTAGAAATTATAAAGAGTGTAACTCCCCCAGTAGATATTGTAAAGAGTGTAACTCCCCCTCAGTAGATATTGTAAAGAGTGTAACTCCCCCAGTAGATATTGTAAAGAGTGTAACTCCCCCTCAGCAGATATTATGAAGAGTGTAACTCCCCCTCAGCAGATATTATAATGAGTGTAACTCCCCATCAGCAGATATTATAAAGAGTGTAACTCCCCATAAGCAGATATTATAAAGAGTGTAACTCCCCCTCAGCAGATATTATAAAGAGTGTAACTCCCCATCAGTAGAAATTATAAAGAGTGTAACTCCCCCAGTAGATATTGTAAAGAGTGTAACTCCCCCTCAGTAGATATTGTAAAGAGTGTAACTCCCCCTCAGTAGATATTATAAAGAGTGTAACTCCCCCAGTATATATTGTAAAGAGTGTAACTCCCCCTCAGCAGATATTATAAAGAGTGTAACTCCCCCTCAGCATATATTATAATGAGTGTAACTCCCCATCAGCAGATATTATAAAGAGTGTAACTCCCCATAAGCAGATATTATAAAGAGTGTAAC